GTCTATTTCACATGACGGAAGGCAACAAAATAGTCCCAGCACTCTAAAACTCATCAGCATGAGTCGCAACATATCAATTTTCAAGTAGAACAACTTTAAATACCTGGCAAGCTTTTAGCTTCCCTGGAAAATAATACTTCTATTGTTTCCAAAGGAAACCCTAAGTACCACAAATTACCACACTTTTAACATACTGACGAGTTGATGGCCTGATGCTTTTACAAGCTCAGAGGCAGACTGACAGAAGTCAGAGTAGTTTAGAGGAACACTTAAAATATAGCATTTTACATTTGGCAAGAATCACTGCAGTGAAAAAATGACAAGGTGACTTTTGAGTTCTTTAAGTTTGGCATGAAAGTAGAGAACTAAAAACGAATTTAACTGACAATGCTCCACATCAACTATGAAGCGGAAAGATAGGACAACAATAGGCAGTGCAGCATGTGCTTCTTTCTAATGAGTGATTATATTCTTCCCAGGTTTGTCACTTGATCCTATTATTTTAGAGAGGCCCAATTTTAAATGGGCTAAACTGCAAATATAACATTTATGAGCAGTACAGTGGATTTTGTTATATGTTGGTTTGAAGTCTTCTGAAACATCAAAAAAATGTAGCAACAAAATTTTGATATAATGTGCTAATTTTTACAAAAACAGAACGTGGCAACATAAAAGTGTTATCATAGAATTACAAAATATTAGGGTTTGAAGAGGGCAGAGGGCCATCAGGTCCAACCTCCTGCTCAGTGAAGGATGCCAAGTTAAACCACCCACCTCAGATGGCTGTCCACTGTGATTTTGAATGCCTGTAGTCTGGGAGAGCCCACAACCTCCCAAGATCACCTTGAATATTTTTTCTGTCTTTCAGGGTAGTAGCTCTCCCACCCAGTTTTCTGTCATCTGCAAATCTAATAATTGTTCCCTATACGTCTTCATCTGAATCATTAATAAAGATGTTGAAGAGTACTGGGCCCATGACTGAACCCTTAAGCACCCCACTTGTTGAGAAGGTGCCATTGATGAGCACTCTTTGAGTCCACTTATGTAGCCAACTGTATACCCACCTGAACATTGTTCTATCTAGCCCACTTTCATCTAGTTTGCTGATCACAATATCATGTGGTACTTGGAAAAAAGCTTTGCTAAAGTCAAGGCAAAGTCCATCAGGGAGCTTACCCAATCAAAAAACGAAATCAGGTTGGTCTGGCAGGATTTCTTCTTGAGAAATCCATGTTGGCTTCTAGTAATCACTGCATTGTTTTCAGCATGTTTGCAGACTGACTGCTCTGTAATATGCACTAAAACTTTGCCAAGGACTGATGTCAGTTCTTCTTTTTTCTCTTTTCCTGAAGATAGGGACAACGTTAACCCCTTTCCAGTCACCTGGCGCTTCCCCTGTCCTCCATGATTTCTCAAAAAGAGAAAACAGTGGTTCTGAGAATTCTCCCACTAGCTCTTTTATGACTGTTGAATGGAGTTCATTGGGCCCTGGAGATATACACATATTCAACCCAATTAGATGATTCTTGACCATTCGCCCATCAATTCTGAGCCGTCATCCTGCTCCTTCAGCTTGTACTTCCCTTCATAGATCTTCTTTTGGGAGAAGACTGAGCCAAAGAAGGAACTGAGCACTTCTGCCTTTTCTTTGTCCTCTGTTATCATTTTGCCAACCACATTGGGTAGTGCACCTCCCATTTCTCTCCTCTGTCTTTTACTTTGACATATGTGAAGAAGGCTATTTTTTGTTGCTTTTATCATCCCTCACTAACTTCAATTCATTCCTAGTGTTAGCCTTCCTGGCGCTGTCCTTGTAATTCTGTGATACCTGCCTATATACTTCCTTTATAGCCTGGCCTTCCTTCAACTTCCTGTATGTGTCCTTTTTTGTTTTCAAATCATCTCTAAACTTTTTGTGAAACCACATGGGCTTCTTCTGTTGTCTTCTTTCATGCTTTCATGGTGCATATATAAAGCAGGATAAATTCAAGATGATTGAAATTGAAGGAGAGAGCACAGGTGAAGAAATTAAAACACAGCAGGTATGAAAAAGGTAAAAACAAAATATGCTTTTAAAAAATTGATTACAACTTCAAAGCTTTAATTCTTTTGCATTTCTTTTCCCTGACCCATGACACAACTTTTTAATCTTGTTTTTAATTTTCTCCAGCATTAAAAGCTAGATGTATTTGCCCAGAAACACTGCTTCAGAGAAGACTGAAAAACAGTATAGAGAAAACTTTAAAAACAAAGTTTCCCCACTCCAAGAAAAAAGTGTGCTTGCTTGGCTACATTAAACAATATATATGAAATCTTACATATAACAAAACACATTGCATTCCATATAATTTGAAACAGTACCACATACATCAGTATTTATTCTTTGTAGTACCTAATTGTACATGACTAAGTTCACTCTTAGTCATATTGAATTCTGGAGTATTGTATTGTAAGAACACAAGTTTACTTACATACCATGGCTTGTTAACAGCAAACAACTCAGTTGTTATCAGGTTATAAACTCTGGGTTGTTTATCCATGAGCTGTTGTTACATGTGAACTCAGAATGATGGCTTGCTTTGCCAAGCTATAGCGGTGGGAGACAAGAGTGTCTCCTCTTCCACAAAAATCACCCACTTTTTGTGCTAGTGCTACAGTGCTGCAAAGGTATTTGGGATACAGGAAGAAAATGTAAAGATCAGGAAAAAACAACAAACCAGGTATTGGAAAAATAAAGCATGGTTTCTTTGATTATCTAGCAGGCATAACCTGATAACCTGAAATAAAGCTGGGTTAAAAATACAAATAGTAATATGAACAAATACAGCAGAATTTACCCCCATCTTAATATTCTACTTTTATCTAATATAGTAGTAAAATATGCTAAATAAATGTTAAGTATTGCAAAAATTCATTATTCAGGAGCACAGTGGGGCCGAATGGTTGAATATATACTGGGTAAAGCGGCTTTTCTCTTTACAGAAGAAACAGTTTAAAAAAAAACCCTTTTAAAAGTACTTTGTCATATACTGACAGCCAGTTAAAATGTTACCCCAACATATGAAGGCTGATAAAATAACCTTTTGCATGGAGGTCCTCTTTCCAGCTGCAGATAATATTTACAAGCACTTTACTTATATGTTGATCCAATCCTGTATCAAGTTTCTGTGCCAGGCTGGCTGTTGCACAGGATGTGCTGGTATAGAAAGAACCTTTCTAAATGGTATGTTATATGGAATAAGAGCTTCCAAATAGTACATACAAAAACAGTTGTACTGGCTTTGAGGAACAGGAAGGGTAGTATCATTTGCAAAGTAGTGAATGTCCTATGTTAAGCTGACAACTAGAAGCAGAATGTAGAAAAGAAGTAAAAGAAAAAAGCTGAATGCTATTCACAATAAATCCTAACAAATTCAAATATCTGATTCCGTATGTCTATGTTACATATCTATCCACTTCTGTGGAGTCTCAACCACCTTCCATCCAGGCATTGACCAGGCTGTGACTGGCTTGTGATTACTTAACTCCTGTTTCTTGGATGTCTATGTTAATAACTACTCAGGGAGGTCAAACTATGTATTGGGTTACATTATATATGCCAGGTAATCATGGAGAACAATGCAATCCTGTAAATGTTTACTCAGAAGTCAGTCCCTCTAAATTCAGTGTATGCACTGAATGCTACTAACTGTAACATGTGTACACAAAAACATAAGAAAATTCATGATGGATCAGACCATGGTCCATCTAGTCCAGTACTCCGTACATACAGCTCAGGCAGGTTGGATATAAGCCCCCTGCATGTATACAGCCTAATCCAGAAATGGGACACAAAATGCAGGGTCACTTGCACAGTGCTATTTAGGAATTCATCCTGCATTCTATATAGAGAAATGTCATTCTCTATTCTGAGTGTTCACCTTTGTTTGCCCCATATAAATCTGGGCCCAAATGGAAACTATTTTGGACTCACTTTCCTATATCTCCTAAATAAACTGTTTCAGAAGCAAATTGCATAGGTATGTGGGGCTTGCTGCAAGCACTCTAATGAACATTTGTACATTTCTGATAACTGGAACAGTGTTCCTACTATGTAATCACAGAATGAAAATTGCTAGAACTAAAGGTAGCTATAGAATTTGCAAATTTATGGCTGTCATTAAAATTATGCTGGAGGTGGAAGAACCCATTGACTACCAGATTGTCTTGATATAGTAGACTTAACATCTGAGGACACTTTAAAAGAACGATCTATACTAGGGCCAGACAATAGTACAAGGAACAAACTGATTCAGAAATAAAGCCAACAAGCAATCTCACAGTGGAAGGGTATGGAGCCACTAAATCAGTGCCACAATGCATGTCATGAAGAAATAAGAACAAAAGTTAAAGAGAGGCTTCATGCATTGTGAGTTCATCTGAAAAGTGCCAGCTATTGTGTGGAGAACAAAACATTACTGTAACAAAGAAATGGCAGCCAGACTCCAACTCATTTTGCATATGCATCTGAAGTGGGCAAAACTTAATTTAGAACCATTACAGAAGAAATGCTACTTTGCCCATGGAAATGTATACCAAATATTCATACAAGCATCCATTTTTTCAATCTTCCTGAAACCATTTTTCACTTACCACAAGGCTATTTTTTTCTGGTTACTTATGTCTCATCAAACCTATACAATTAGGTTATGTGATAGCTCTAATATACATCATGATTTCAAAGCAATACAAATCTGGTCAGCCTCAAGGTTTTACCATGAAGTATGTGATAACCCAAATTATCAAGAAAGTTTAATGAAAACAAATAAAAAGCAAATGTAAAGCAAGTAATTAAAATAGAATTAGATTTAAAATCCCTAACACCTTTACACAAAGAACTTCTTTTCCCAAGGTAATTGTTAACATTTTGCTTGTTTGATACAGTTGAAAAATGCATTATGTGGAGCAGAGCATGATGATGTGAAACTGTTCATAAATTATTAGTTGAAATATGGACTTACCAATGAAATAGGCCAGCAATATGGCAAGCAAGATTGCAGCAGCAATAGCTGATAAAGCAGCACATTTCCAGCTACAGTACTTGGAGGGCTTTTTCAGCTTGAATGCATTTCTGGAGAAAGTATTTCTAGGTAACAGTCTGGGAGGTGGTGTGTAAACTGTTCCTGAGGTCAAAGGGTATCCAGGGGAAGAACTACTGAACAGAGGAGTTGTTCCAGAAGATGTCTTGAACAAAAAATGCCTGAAATGCAGACAAATTGACTGTTGTTAACCAACACATGACAATAGAGTAACTCAGCTGTTTGGGATGTAAAATTAGCTAGCAATAAAAATGAAGAGAAAAGGAAGCTTCATTTTGCTCATGATGCTTAGCTTTAACTATGAGATGAAGTATGACAGTGCTTTGAAAGGAATATAGAAAATTGCAAAAAAAAATCAGTTATTTCAAATCCGATTCTCATGCTGGAGGGTTAAAGCTGGATACTCTTATAAAATCATCTTCTTCTTCTTCTTCCCTCTATATTACTAAATGCCAACCTAAACAGAAAGATCTTTATCTGGAATATATTCAGGCTTAAGGTCTGGCAAACTAAAAGAGGAAGAGAGTGACAAATACACAACAACAGCTAGAACATATAATCTAGATGCTATTGAAAATCAATTTTGCTGTACAAATGGTAATGTTAGGAAGCTGTTCCCAGTTACTGTTTGGGCTTCCCATGGGACAACGGGAAGTCTGACAGTTTCTAAACACAGTTCTGAATATTAGAAAATAACATCTGTAATTACCCCCAGAGAGCTAATGGAAACCTGATGATGATGATGATAGCTCAGCCTCTGAAAAATCAGTGTAATGGATTATCAAAGATCCATCCAATCAAGAAACTGAATATTCACCATTTACAGGGCCTGAACATGTGTGTTTAATTGAGTAAAGCTCAAAACAACAAAAAGTATAATTAGGGAGAACATGTCACAACTATGTTTAAAGAGGAAACTGGTGAGAATTTATTGTTGACACAGTGAGGAGTCTATTAGCAACCTAAGAAAAGTTTAAATAAAGTACATGTTAACAGGTGTATCCACATCCCCCAGATTACAGAAACTCTCTTCTTCTTTTTCTTCTTTTCTTTGGCCTTACTGACAATCTCCAACCATAACACATGGAAAATATTTTTGCTTAGTAAGCTAACCTAAGGATGTTCTAAATGGAAAAATACATTAAATTTAGCTTTATTTTTTTAAAAGGCAGCATTGTTGTCTCTACCTCTACATGATAACACCACCTAAGGCTTCAGACTACTCAATTAATACTACAAACGCACCATCAATTTATTTGCACTGGATGCTCCAAAGCCCCTTTTTGCTAGTTAAACTATTTCAAAAATTTGTGCTGGTCAAATACAATGCGACAGCAGCCTTCCTCCCTCTCAAATCATATTAGCACAGAAATAATCCTTGCAGTTGCTGAAGTATTCCAGCAGCATAACTATTATGTTGGTCATGCCAGTGCTGGGAAAACTTGTAAACAGGTGGGAGTGTGGCAGAAAAGAGTGGAAATTAGTTGGATTCCCATTCTTCCCTAGGGGTCTATTCTATTCATCACAATGGTAGTGCCTGCAACATTTTAAATTGAAATCATTGACACATTCAGACTAAAAACTGTACCTTTATCCCATTTACTCCAATATCTCTACAACGGTGCATGGGACACCTACCTCTGCCTATCAACAGGTGTTTCCAAGTCTCAGGAAGGCACTCGAGATCTCATATATTTATTATTTATTTATTTAAAACATTTCTATGCCACCCCCATCACAACAAAGCCTCGGGGCGGCTCACAACAATATAGCAGGGCTGGCCAGACTTGCTCAATGGAAAAGCCACATATGGTAAATGTCAGATGCTTGGGAGCTGCAAGTGGGGCCCTGCAGGCACTGCCCATGGGTAGTGAGCCATACGTGGGCACCGGTGATTACTCCCACGCAGTGAGATGTGAACCACAGCATAAACTCAAAAAGCCACATCCAGCTCCTGAGCCTCAGTTTAGCCACCTCTATCCTATACCAAGCCATTCAGTACAAGTGGCATCATTCCTCTTTTATGTTTGGAAAATTAGGAATACACCTGGATTCATGCATGCAGACTCATGGATGGACTATAGTTCATGCTTTCCATGCAAATGGTCCCAGGTTCAATCCCATTTAGAAGAAAAGGATGGCAGTGATCTGGAAGGCCTGGGAAGCTCTGTCAGTTGGGTTTGGCCATGCTGGGCTAAATGGAGAAATAGTAGATTGCTGCGAACAAGTTTCCTAGGCCCCTATTAATAAAAACCAGAGACACTTCATACTTAAAAAGAATTTCCTTCCAACTTGCCAAGCTCAGGATAGTTTTTAAAGTATAATCTCCAAAGTGCACAGAACTTTGCAGTATTCCCTGCATAGTCACCTATCTATCTATAGAATATGTGTTTATTAATTACTGGAGTTAAATACAGTAACACGTAATTGTTGTTCTAATTGATACTGAAGTCAAATGAATACTCTGGAATTACTAATTAGTACCAGTACTTAAAAAACAAAACTCCTGCTGTAAATGCAATCAGGTTGTTCCCAGCTAGCAATGGGTCGCATTGAGAGCTGTCTACCTGTCATTGGAGCACCCTCCATCATATTCTCTCTCATGGCTACAGCCATACGCAGTCCCCCAAATTTGTTGTGAAATGCCGAGGTCCCTCTAGAGTAGAAAAAGGGCACTGAGACAAAAGAGGAAGCACACATTCTGTTGTATAAGCAAAGCTCACAACATGTTAGAGCTCAACTAACTGATGCAATTATGCTTGGAAAAGTATTAACTTTGGGAGAAATTTCTATTAGTTACTCCTGCATTTTAGTTAGCATTACTTATCAGTCTACCTGGAGAATACCAAGTGTGAGAGAATGTAGTATCACAGGATCTATTAAACTGTATGTCCAGGATCCATAAATGCAACTAGACCATGTTATTACTTTTTATTGCAGTGACAGCCCGGTTTTCAGGCATGGTGAAAGGTCCTGCTTCAGGTGTCAAATTTGGAGATTATGTTAAAGGTCAACAAGTTGTCCATTATATTTATTCAACTTTAGAAAATTTAGATTTCCTCCTTCAACATCATTTTAGGTGGCTTCTGAATAGGGCAATTTTTTTTTAAACTGTGGACAGGGATTTTTTAAAGGGCCTATAATGACACATGGCATGTTTGCACCTCCAACTGAAAGTGAGGACTGCTGGAAGGCATCCTTTGTTTATATTCTTCAGAGATAAGTAAAACAAACAAACAACCCTTAAATCAATTTCAGTTTCCAATTCAGTATATTTATATTTATCAAAGCAAAAACAAGATAGCAACTTTCAGCAAGCTAAGACTTAGTTACAAAGCAATCCTTCAGCCCTAGAATGCTATGGTTTCCTAACTCTGAGATCAGAAATAATCTCTGAGCTTGGAGCTGGGGATCCATGCTCAGTTCCCTCTCGCCTGCTCACAGCTTGTGCAGAAAAAAACCACACTGGCTACTTCTCTGAGGTTGTATAAGTGACAAAGAGAAGAGGCAAAAAAGACATCTTGATGGGTGGGTACAAGGGCAGACTGGATCCACCAAGTTACAGGGATCTTGGAAGCATTCCAGCATCCTTTCCTGCCTGAGGAATGTCCTCAGCTAGACCATCAAAATTGGCCATCTGGGTGACCTGCAGAGTGGGAGGAGCACAGAAATGAAGATCACATCTGTATTTCTACCATCCTGGATAGGATGTCCATCTCCTTTAGAGCCTGGAGACATCCCTACTGAACTGTATCCTTACACAATGCTAGGGACATCCTGTGGGTGGGGGTAAGAACCTGCAGCTCCACAGTATGGCAAAGCACAGTCTTAACTCTGCCAGTTCCAGAAGGCAAAGGAAGAGTTCAAAGATCAAATGTATTTCAATGGGTACTGGGCACCTCCCAAAGAGGAAAATCCAAACTAACCCAGCAATAACCTGGGAGAAACTGATCATGCATACACCAATGACTTCTGCATGTACCCTCCGAATAGAGGAATAATGTGGGCAAGCAGAAGAGTCAACCTGCTATATGCAGAAATGCAGATCTTTTATGCATAGCCATGGTCTTTCTTCAAAGATATTTCTAGAAAGGTGGGGGCTATGGGGGGTTTATCACATATTCATTTCCAAAAGTCATTCATGGAGAGGCTTGTTCTCAGATCTACCTGATGCAACTGCTTTACAGGAGAACAGGAGGTATGAATAAACTAAAAACAATTAAACTAGCTTTAACTATATTCTTATTAATTGCAAGTTTTAGGAACCCTTTCTCTTAAAAAGCAGTCTATCCATGCATAACAGCAAACATGTCTAAAACGCTTAAGCGCCGCATTACAAACTCCAATTTTATTGGAAAGATGAGGACACGTCTGCTTCCAGATACTAGGCTGCCTCTCACTAGTGTTCAACCTACAATGATGCACCCTTTCCACACATGCCTGCACACTACAAAGCTTGCAGTCTCAAGGACTGTACTATAAATGGTCACAATCAGCACTTGTCCACAATTGTCACAATCAGTACTTTCTGCAGTGAATTTCTTTCTGCCGTTACTGTTTACAATTCTTTCCTGCCCCACACCCTTGCTTTCAACATTTGAACTGCATAAAAAGCCTCCATAGTATTCTCTGCATCGGAAAATATGGACAACAGTTCATAAAAGCTTTTGCTAGAATAAATTGGTTAGTCTTTAAGATGCTACAAGACTAACATGGCTACCCACTGGAACTATAAAGGATGCAATGAACATCTATACTCACAGAAAACATATGAAATAAATTGGTGGCACATAGAAATGATGCTTAGCTGATTGTTCCCTTGAGCTATAGATTAGTTCATACATGCATATTCAGCACTTCTGTGATTTGTTATAGCAATTGATGATGAGGATGCATGAATGATCCATCACAGATAGAACATCACAGACAACTTTCACATCAACCAAAACCACCTCAAATGGAATGTTTTCCCAAATAAGCAGCTCACACATTTAACTCCTAGTCATCAAGTATATGGTATTCAAGAGATTTTACAGATCACCCAGAAACAATAAATAATCAGTCTTAATTTTGGTGCCTCTGAGGGCAGAACCAGTATGTAGCAATTGCACTGACACACATTTTGGCTAAACATTAAGATAAATTTCCACACAGTACAAGC